ATTGGGTCTAGTGGGGTCTAGAAGGCTTGTTCTGAGGTCTTGCGGCTCCATTTTGCCTTTCCCCCCCCCCTCAGTTCTGCTATACACACGCGCTCACTTCGCGAAGCCACTAAGCAGGCAAGAATTGCATTTGAGCTGAACCTGGCAGTCCTCAAGCCATAAACCCAAAAAATAATCACCGCACTTAAACAACTCAAAGGCCACCAACAAAAAAAGCTCCCACTCGGAGGTCTCCCGGCGAACCTCCCACATTACGCAAGCTCTGACTTTGGAGCTCGAGGCGGGCGTGTTAGGTCATCGGATGTGGTCGTTGCCCCTCCTTACCTATAGTCTCCATTGTAGTTCTTTTTTATTGGGGATACCTTATAAACTCGTTAATATTTGCTTAAACCAAAAAAAGGAACTACAATGGAGACTATAGGTAATCATGGGTAGAGGATTAGCACGACATTTTCTAGAGTTTAGAGTTGAGGGTTTGTTGGGTTAAGGGTGGAACAGTCTCACGGCTATCACCATGACAACACTGATTTTCATTCAAATCTGAGTGTGCTGGAGGGTGTCCGCACGATTGGTAGCAGGGTATCATCGTGTAACGTGGGTTTCCTTGCAGACAAGGGTTTATAGATCAGATACTTGCATGCGTGCTGGTATTAGGGGTGTTGGGGTCAGACTGGATGTTGAGCCCGCCTCTTCCACGATGGGAATGTCCCTGTCATGTGGGGAAGTGCGGCCGGACATCAGTCATTTGTCCCACTTTGCTTGCTATCCTACATCCTCAGTGCGGATGAATTTCAATTCAGGATGCAGAACACCGGATGGAGTCACAGCTCTCCTGGCAGACCGGCCATGCAGAGGCCTTCTTGTCAGGGTTTCTGAGCTGCGATGTAGGGTTAGTTGCTCAGGTTCTGGGGTTGACCAGGTGATGTGTGCCTCATTTGCTTTAAGGTTTTGAGGGGTCGTAGTGATGTAACGGCTTCTCCCTTCTCTGAAAGGGCACACTAGACAGTATGCAACAGGCCAAAACATGCAATATTATCGGTGTAAGTACAAATCGGCACATCATACGTTTGTATATATGCTTGTACACATGTTAGCTATGCATACATGCACTCGTGCAGGCTGCATTGCATGCATATAAGCACACATGTGCACATCTAGCTTTGAGTGTCCTCTGCCAAACCTCAGCGATCTGTGACGTGAGGCTGCAGGCTTGGAGCCAAGACAGTCCAACAAGAACGCATATGGGTGGTTCTCTAAATTAGAGTCCCTTTTTAGGCCCCCTTATAGTACGGCACCCTTATAAACAGGACCTAAAAAGGGACCCTAATTTAGACAACTACCCATTTGCACTTGCCGGGAATGCCAAAAGCTGCCCCAGCCCCAGTTGTCTTCAGCTTTAGACTCTCGAACCCCAAATCGCTTTGGGCCCCTGGCGGTTCAGCACTGCTTATACTTGGAGGTTCATGGGTAGTTATAAGTGGGATTATAAGTCCCCTAATATGGGTTATAAGTATAGTTACCCTACTTATAGCCCCATTTATAGCTACCCATGAACCTCCAAGTAATTCACACGAGTTTCTGTGCCGAGAGCAGGTCAGGGATGCTCTTTCGTCTCTCGGCCAAGGGTGTCAGAGGTGCTTAGATACGATGCGTTTGGGGGTCATTCGATGTCTTGTAGGTGGATTGAGGTTTCATGCATACGGTTCTCACCTTCATGGAGCTTATGTCTTTATAGCTTCAGGTTGAAAGGGGTGCTGCAGGATTGTATAAGGGCATGAGGAGTTTCATGAATTGAGGTCCATGTGCGAGCGCTGAGGTTTTATAGCGACACCTTTTCAGAAGAGGGAATTGCGCTTTGGAATCAGGATACGTCAGTTTAAGTCGTTTCTTCCATAATGTTTGTTGCTTTGTAAGACATTTCTAGGGTTGCTCAATGTCTCAGATGCCACACTTTGCACGCGAGGATTTGATTAGAGCCTGTTGTCAGAAGTTTTGGACAAACCTACGGGGAGTTTTGAGCTGGATGATGTTCAGGATCCGATGGCCCCCACACCCTGGGCCCTAGACTCATGAAGCGATCACAAGGTTCAGAAGGCTAAGATTTTTCGGATTAGATTTACAAGGCCAAGTCCGAGTTCAAGGAGGGCAAGGGCTCAAGAATCGAGGGCTCAGAGGCTCGGGGTTTCTATTTGGGAGCCAGTGCTTGAGTTGGCGTTACCAGAATCTCAAAGACCTCCCATTTTTTCTGCAGGTAAGGGGGGGGTTATCTTACGGCCGTTTGCCGCCGCATTGGCAGTCTTTGCCCATACCGGAGGTTCTATCACCCAGCTTGGTACAGAGGCTTCCTGCTGTACATTCGGTTACTCGCTGCCGTCGGCCCGTAGTTCTGCCTACATGAGGCTTTTTTCGGTGACTGCTGCGACGGCCACGATGCCCCAAATCGTAAAACTGTTACAAATCACAGTCACAAGCCAAAAGCATTACCCGCGATGCTCTCCTGCAACTGCTTGGGCATGAGGATGCATCGGATGCAGCGCTGCACGAATTCTTTGATGTCCTCATCTTCCCAAGCTTCCTGGCTTTACTTTGATAAGATGAACCTACTCTTACAAGGGTGGGTTGAGAGAATGATTTCCGTGAGGCCGTGCGACTGCTGCTGCTGCTGCTGCTCTGGAATGCCTTTGCTGTTGATTGGTGATGATGACAACCAACAGCAAGGGCGCACTTCCGTCATCATCATCACCACCAATGTTGCCCGCCTCGCTGCTTTCGCTGTTCCTATACAAGGCGTCCACAGCAACCTGTGTTCCTTCGCTTAGTCGTTGTCTTCGTGGTATGGCCGTTCCAGCACCCTGCACATCCCCTGAATGCAGGCTGGTGCACCCGGGGCCACATCGTGCAAAAAATGCTGTCCTGGAAGTCCACAAGCGCAAGACATGTAATCTGTTGGCAGCTGCTGCGGGGGAGTCGGCCAAGGGATGATGCTTGGGTAATGCCCGAAGGTAAACCAAATGCCTAACGGCGACATGGCGTGTGTGGACGCAGAGCTCAAGGTCAAGCTTTTCGGTTTGCAGCTTTGCAGAAAGCTCCCCAGGTCTACAAGCGGTCCAAGACGATGTACGTGACCTCGGTGCAGGAGTGCCATCGGAGCCGCAAGCCGTATGCACACTCTCGACAGCCACCTTTTGTCTTACCGCCTTCTCTACCCCAAGTCCGAATATTGGAGCACCATTTCAGTTTCTCTTGCAGCATGAAAGCCACGAGTTCCCTGCCTTGGCATTCCGTGCATCACAGCACATGAGGATATCTACAATCACGGATCCTGTGCTATATTCAGGTGTCCTTGCATGAGTTGGATCTTGCTCTGCAGCGTCCATGTTAGGGTCCGCTGTTTTCTGAAACTTCCAAGCCTTCTTCACATAGCCGAGCTTCGCACGGCGAGCGCCAGGACGGTAACGAATGTGTGTATGTGTGTGTGTGTGTGCTTCATAGCAAGGCCATGCAGTCAAGTTGAATATCCGCGATATCTATCGAACGCATGTGCTCAAAGTGGAAATGTTATTCAGTGGATCGCTATCCTAGTTTGTTGTTGGGAGTGGCAGAGATTTCAACCAGCATAGAGGCAGGACTTGACTGACTTTATTCGTACCACGTGTGCAAACATTCAGAACTGAGCCGCCTTGTTGCTCAGTCCTGATATATGTTGCGTATGCAAACAAAATATAGGGTTTAGGGTTCAGGGTTTAGGGTATGAGCAGCTTGGCTAGGCAGTGGACAGCAGTCATACTGCGAGCAGGAAGCTTGGTCGCGGACGGCCTCTGCATCATCCACTGACCTGTAGCGGCGCTTCTGAACCTTCTAGGTTCAATGCGCTGGACGGTCCGAGAGAACCTGGCTTCTGCTTCCTATCGGTCGAAGATGCCAATATCTTGCCCAAAGAATTGAGTGGGGAATCCTAAACCCCCCCCAAGACCAGAACCTGTCTGCACGACACCTACAACCTAGGCGTTCCGTTCCTTGCGTCAGGGCCTCGGGGAAGGCTGCAAGCGAAAGCCTTCTGTCCAGTCGGCATACCCATAGGCCCCATAGTAGCTCCTTTTTGGGACTCCCTAATAGGATCCTAAATATAAGCCACAACAAGGAACTACTAATTATGGGGCCTATGGGTAGATCCTGTTCCGAGAATCCTAGATGCATGCTGGGCGACAGCCCAAGAAGCCGCCCAGCTCTTGTGCAATGTTACAGACGCGGGCAGGTCCCATTTGAATAGCATGTGGTCATGGCCTGTTCTCGGACCCTCTCCTTGGAATTCAGGATTGTATTGTGTACTTTTTGGCGTGATAACTTTACATCTTAGGTTACCAAAGTCCGAGATTCGGGCCAAGGTCTGCATGGCCCAGTAAGGTGGTGTAAAGCGACTCAACCCGCTCTGACTTAAGACGGGGCCGACGTTTCTTATGCCGACCTGAGTTGGCGGGTGACAGTGGACCGTGGTGTTGCACCAGGACCAGGCAGAACAAGAGCTCGTGTGCCCGCTCCACTAGTTTTGCGTAGCCGTACTTGGAGGATCATGGGACTGAGAAAAACAAGGTTATAAGTCCCTTAATTGAGGTGAGAAGTATAGTTACCCTAATTAAAACCCTACTTACTAAGTCCCATGATCCTTTTAAGCAACCCCACTCAACAGAAACCTTCAGCCCCGAAGCCCTGGCACCGTAACTTTCGACCCGCAAACCCTGGAGCTGAATCACCAGATCCCGCAAAACAAGGCCCCTGATGCCGAAGCTTGAATCCTGCGTACCAAAGGCTCACACACACATGGGTGGTTATCAAAATTATGGTCCTTTTTTGGGTCCGTAATATAATACGGCACCTAATATTTAGGGTACCCCAAAAGGGACCCTAATTTTGACAACCACTCACATGTGGGATTCGGACGTTTAGGCTGCGGAAGAGAGAAGAAAAGCTTGAAGCCTGCAGTATTTTGCCCGTCCATCCAGGCAACTTCCGAAATCCGGCGGGCCTGGTCGTCTCCTGCACAGCTCCCGGTCTGTCTTCGAAGGGTTCTATCAATTATATCGATATTACCCTCTATATACATATAAATAAATATATATATATATATGTATGTATATGTATTAGCATACACACAGAGGTGTGTATATGTATCTATATATATATATATACACACACGAACACACGCACACACACACACACGCACGCAGACATAAGTCAGCGTGTATTTTATTTATATATATATATATACATATATATATATATATATGTGTGTGTGTGTGTGTGTGTTTGTACATATATATATATATATGTAAATATATATATATATATATATACATATATTATTATTATATATATATATATGTATGCATGCATTCATGCTTGAAGGCTTGCTTGCTAGAGGTATGCCTAGCAACAGTTCAACACCAAAATGTCCTTTCATAGTCTTATGTACCTTTACACGCTGGTATGTATATATGCGCACGAATTTTGAACGAGAGAGAGAGAGAGAGAACAAAAAAAACAAACAACAACATAGAGGTTCAACGTGGTGTGCCAGTGTTTTTCCTGCAAGTCCATCTTGCGTGGTGCGTTTGTGTGTGCATCGAACAGCTAGCCACAGAGAAACTTCCTATGTGCACAACTGCAGTAAGTGCCTCGCCCACTTTCACCCTTTGCCTTCCTTCTTCGTTCCAGAATCACTCCCCACCACTAGTGCGGATACATGCGCACATGCGATGCTTGCTGCAGTTGGCATTTTGTGGTTTTCTGCGTATATACTGTGTAGGTGCATTGTGCGCCCGGAGAAACTAGTAGCTAACCCTAAACCGAGCCCGTGAATTCTGTTGGTCGGATCCTCGATAGCTGCAGCTGAGTGTCCACTGGTTGGATTCTCCCGAAACCATGTAGGCATAACTCACAGAGAGGGAGCAAGGTGCTTCAAGATCTCACGAGGCATGTAACCAATACAGTTCAGGCCAGAACCCTCGCATGCTATCTTAATATAGTGTCGGAAACCTCTTAAACCCTTGCCCTAGCATCGTCCTCGGCCAGCTTGGCAGATTCCAATATTCCGACACCTGGTCTCTTCAGGCCATCATGGCCGTCACACCCATCGAGACATTGAAGACTCGCGTGACGGACGACATGCGTCGAGGTGCTTGGACCGGGGGGCAGCATCGGTTTGGGGAAGTTTAGGGTTGAGGCCAGTTTCGGGTTTAGTGGTTTGAGGGCAACTAGGGTTGACGGGTTTACGAGTCGGCTTTGTGGGCACCACGGTGTCGCGAGAAGGACGGTTCTGTCGCCGATAGAAAGACTGCGGCAGGATTCGCCGATAGAAAGACTGCGGCAGGATGTAAACGCTTGAGGCCCCTAATTAGACCTGGAAGTTCACTTAGGGCTTAGGGTTAAAAGCCCTGAGCTGCCTACCTAACCCTAAACCCCGAACCCTAAATCCTCTCAGCCTTCTATCTCATCAACTGCTGCTCGATTCGTGGATGGTCTATCTCGGCATCGGGACATTTCTATCGCCCTCTACAGCTAGGAAGCTCCAGACAGAATCAAAAAATACTCTTCTGCAACCCTTGTAGTACCCTTAGAAAGGCCCTATCTTGCCCCTATGTAGAAGACTCTTAGAAACCTTCAAGCACCCTGCAACACCGTCTAAAGCCCTGTAAGAGGCACTGGCAACTACTCTGGATCTTTCGATGCCTTGGTGAAGATTCTGAAGAACGAAGGCAGGACTTTCGCGTGCACTTTGGCCCAGAGGCTCCAAAAACCCCCTCAAATGATAAGCGATGTACCTGAAATGAGATAAGGATTCCTATAGTAACATTAAAGGTAGGTTCCTTAAGTAAGGGGTTTTGGAGTCTCTGAGGAAGTGAGTCGGTCTCCATAAGGGCCTTGAGTAATTACATAGTTATCTGGGTCGCTCGGGGACCGTGTAGGGCGTAGTACCAGACCACCGGGAAGATCTGAATCATAGAGCCCTTGAAAGAGTCCTGTATCTTGACCTGCTATAGTCTTTGGATACCTTTTATAAGAGGCCGGGTTCACTTTAAGGGTGTAGGTTGTAGGATTTGTTGGACAGAGGGTGTGATTGTCATACCTCCGGGGTTATATATGCTGGCTACAGGAAAATATAGAAGCCTGAGTGGTTAGTAATACTGTTCCTTGGGGTCTTAAAGCATACTTCTGCGGGCTCCTGATTTCGAGATTCGGGCTTCCAGGAGCGTTGCATGCTCAGGGGGGCCAAGCTTTGGGACTTTGGCATCTGACCTTCCGTTAAAGTTCATAGTTTCGAGCTCAATGTTTGGATTGGGAGTGCTGCGGAACACGAAAATGTAGCTTCTGTAGGGTCGTTCTGGGGCTAAGTACAGGTAAACCACAACCCCGAACTCAAGCCTTCTGAAATTGTGGGTATGCACGAGGCTCGTTGGAGCTGCTGTCCTGGTAGTGGAGAGTGGGAATGCAAAGATGTACGAAGCGACGTTTTTCATGGTGGCAGCTCTAAGTAAGGCTGCTCGGTATTTCGGACTTGTTTCTTGGCAACTTGACTAGGCAGCCGAATGTATCCAGCGCTGCAGTGCTCACTTAGCTTGCATAGTAAGCTAACCCGGAGCAGAAGTGCTGAAGGGGAATGCAGAGTCCCAAAAGAATTTACGGTCTTGAACATAGACCCTCCAAGCCTGAGGATCCCTGTTACAGGAACGCCTACATAAGGTGCCAAGAATCTCCCACGCAAAGCGCGCTGGAAGGGGCATGTTTCCCTCATAGACCGTTTTGACAACTGGTGCCTCAAACGTTCCAAGCACATCTGACGAGGATGCGCTTTCGAGGCTTGCATCCCACGGTCGTGCAACCAGTTCATGTAGTTTTACACGCGAAACGCCATGTTTCACAGCATTTTGCAATCACCATCAGAATGCCATCATCCGAAAAGCCGTTTGAAACCACGAGGGTCGGCCAATCCATCATTGCTAAGCATCATAGCTCGAAGAGCTTCTGGACAGATAGTTCCTCGCATGGTGGTATATTTCCGAGTTAGGGTTTGACTTGTCGCAGGTTTAGATTTAGTGGTTACGGGCTTTGTGTTTGGGTTTAGGGATGCTGCTTTATTGTCTGAGGATTTTGAGGTGGGTGTTTCGCCCGGTTTCGTCCCCACGCTACTTGCTGGTGCCTGCCCTACTGCGGCCTGTACAGGGACCCTGATTGTACAAAGGAGGCCATGGTAATATAGAAGCCTAAATGATTACCAATATTACTCCTCAGGGCTCCATATTCAAATTATACTATGAAGGAGCCCAAAACCCTAGTGCAGTTATTATGGTTGAGAGCAAGCCCTACACTACACTCCCGAAGCCCCAGACCCTCGACCCCAGAAAACGCTGAAGCTTCAAGCGCTAAACACGGGCCTGAAAACTAGAAGACGGCTTTGCCTGCACCGTCAAACCATGCTTCGAGCATAAGGGGACTTAATTAGGGCTTAGGGCTTAGTGCTTAGCAAGTAAGGTTAGAAGTACCTTTATTTATCGGGCTGTAGGTTGGCATAAGCCTAGTCTGCAGCGTTGCTACGTTTTTGTACAACCCTAACCCCCCATTATCCTTAGACCCTAAATAAAGTCTCTGCACTAAGCCTACACCCTTGACCTAAACCCCGAACCTTTAACCCTAAGCCTTAAACCCTAAACCTTAGACCCTAGACCCTGCAAGTGGCAGCCATGATTCAGGCCCGGCGGGCCTGTACATGGGCCTTGTCCCTACCATCGCAAAACAGGCGACGAATCAGGCGGTAGCTACGGCTTGAAAGTTAGGAGTGTGGATTGGAGTTTAGGGTTTTTTGTGGGTCTGTCAGGGTTTTGGTTTCTTGGGGTTAGGGGGTGGCCTCCTGGGTGGAGCTCTGGAAGCCTTGTCTGCTCTCCCTTTGCCACCACTTCTCCGAAACCTCCGAACCCTAATAACCCCCTTGAGGGTTGAAGCCTTTGCTAGCCAGCCTCGTAGGCTCAGTAAATACATGGCAAGAGCCGATTTTAGGGTTTAGGGTTTATATAACCCTGAGCCCTTAGCCCGGTCACCCCAGAATCAGGGAAACCCTGAACCCTATAAACCGTAAACCCCCAAGCCTGACAAGAAAGTATAAGTCCCCGAACGGCGGGAGTCACAAACTACGAAGCAGGATCTATTGAAAGCAAGGTCTATATTAGGGATGTGGTCTGTCTATACCAAGTTCTTTTTGTTGACAACTTGGTGAGTGCATGCTTGGGGTCCTTTCCGGGGATACTAGTGAAAACCAAGAGCCCCACGTCCTCTAGTCATTGAGCCCCCCGTTCCTCCACCTCTAGATGTCAAGTCAGCTCGCAAAAATCACGCAGTAAGCTATACGAGATAGGTTACTGGGCCCTTCGGGAAATACGAACCTCAATCTGCAATTCCTTGCATATTTACACACTTGAAGCCATATCCTGTGACCCCTGACGGCTTGAAGGGGTCCCATATCGCAAGGGTATCGAGAACCCGAAACCCTACACCCTAGGTACGCTTCCCTGTCCAGTTCTATGCGAAACAGCCCTTTGGCGGTGCAGTTGATGCCGGTCAAGACAGTTGGGTTAGGCAGGGGTTTAGGGCTGGCGCTCGACCGGGGCTCCGACTGACAGTCGTGTGAACACGCTGTGAGTTGTTGTTATGGTTCGTACTAGCAGTACTGATGGGTATGAGGACGGTTGAGTTCATACTATTAAATATTTGGGGAATTTTGGGTTTGGAGTGTCAAAGAAGCCGTGCAAAACCCTTTTCCTCATCTGCGTTGTTGCCTGTCTCTAGAGTTCACCCTAGACCCAAAGCGCTAATCGCGTTGAGGGTTAAGGGTTGAGGGGTTTGGGCCTTGCGGGCTTCGCGCACTTCGACCATGAAGCGATCAGCTAGCTCTATAAAGCCTGGCACCCTCACCCGACAGCACCAGACCCATGTGTATGACTCTCTATATGTACTGTACATATGTAATGTATGTATATACTTCTATATA